GGACATTCCCTGTCTTAAAGTCAATTTGTATTAGGTTCAAAGATGTGTTCGTTGGTGTCGAAGTAAATATGGGTAAGCCATCCGCACTCATTTCTTTACGTTCGCCTGTACTATTCCCACCGCAAGAATACGTCATTTGTGGGGAAAAGTCTATTTTGGGGTCTTTGTTTCGTAAATACCCCTTAACTCTCTCCAAAACGTCACAACGAGGGTGTCGGTAGGTAGGATGATACCAAGGATCGCCAGTAGTTACGACAACAGATGGATTAAAAGCTTTTAAAAAGGAGTCATTGTTCGCGTGAGAACTTGCAGCTCCATGGTGAGCTAATTTGTATACAGTTGCTGCTATTTTATCCGAATTGAGAAGGTCTTTGTTCACAGAGCTCATATCTCCAGGAAATAGCATACTCTGGGTTTTGTATGTCAAACGCAGAACCAGGCCCCCGTCATTGCTAGAAGAACCTTGGCCAGATGAAAGTATGTGTATCTGTGCATTACCTGAGCATATGTTTGGGTTATATGTTCCTCTATTACAATTTCCCAAGAGACAAGGCTGTATTCTTCTCACATTTCTCTTTTCAAAGAAATCGGCTACCCCATTAGCAGCATTTTGTTGTATAATTAAGGTCATATTAGATTTTATTTTCGCCCACAATCCGCTTGCGTTAAGAACAGGCTGGAGCATGTTCACATGGTCTGAATCTGTGTGTGTTATGTAGACGCGATCAAGTTTTTTCAAATGATTTCCTAAAAAGCGCGTGACTTTTGCAGCTGCCCAGAATCCTGTGGATTTTGAAGACAAGGACCCCATATCTATAAATATGATGTCCCCAGCATAACGTCCGTTTCTCGGACACTGGATAACTGTGGCATCCCCCTGGCCCACTGGGAGAATGAAAACGCGCAATGCGTTTTTGGCTGCTTTAGGTAGAGCAGGATCGCCTAAAAATAAAAATGACAAAAGACACGTAATGGAACTGACTAGGAAAACATGCTATACAGCATATGTTGCATATAACATTGGCACAAAAACACTAAATTTCAACATTTATCTAAACTGTATAATACCGTGAAACTTTGTTCATCATATCATGTACAATTTGGTCAAAATTAAGAGCAACCAACTACCGGGTTACTTGTAGATTCATTTGTTTCATATATATTTTGTGCAGGATGAACAAATACTAATGTATCAACACATTTTAAATAATAAAACAAAAGCAGCGTCACGGGTCCAATATGTGGAAGACACAGTAATTGAACGCCATCTTGGAGTTGTTCAATAGTTAAATAAAATCAGTGATACACTGTAATATCAAAGTCCAATCACTTAATATCAGAGGAACACAGACCGAACTTGCTGAATATATGCATCTATAAAAACCCTGCATGTGATAGTGCAATTAACGACAATTAAAACGCACCGAACTCTCCCCATCACTGATTCAGTGTACAAAAGTTACGTTAAATTATGGTTGAGCATACTGCTTGCCATGTTTGGCTCCCTAAGCTAATCATTGAACAGTGCAATCTATTGGTATGTACCGGTATTCAGGAGAAAGCAATAAATATTATATCCCGGTCTTACAATAAAATGATACATAAGAAAATGAAGTGTTAACTTAGTTATTCTGGAGTACATGCGTTTGTCTTGATATATCCTTGTCATCTTTTAACCTCAAAGAAAGACGCAATTTGAAAAAAAATCAATGGAGGGTAACTCAAGTGACATATCTAAGTTAGACAAAATTAGGCATCTTTTTCTCACCTGCATTGTCGCTGTAGACAGTATTATCATTCTTTACCGTATCCTCTGGTATCCTTATGGCTAAAGTATTGTCCGGAAGTATTTTGGAATCACAGAAATTTTCTCCACATGTTGTCCAGTTCTTGATTAAACGCATATCCGTCTGTCTAGCTCCTCTGAGTCTCAGAACAGCTGTGTTACCGTTATCGGCACTTCCTACCACCTCTAAATCTAATATTGAATAAAACAAATTCATTATTTTTCTTGCTTGCGTGTACTTGCAAGTACATGTACCAGAGATGGGAAGAAAAAAAACTAGAAGCAAGCAATTTACAATATTCACATTGAATTCCTAATTAAGATCGTGAATAAAATTAATGTGCAATAGGGAAATGAAGTAAATGTAGAAGAATTACTTATGCATAAAGGTGTTTTTGATGAGCAATTATAAGCATAACACAAATTGAACTTATGACAAAAGTTACCACACGTATTCAGAGTAAAATGAACATGGTTCCTGTAGGAAAACGCTTAGCTAAAGGTCTGCTAGGCACGGTATGTCTATAGGCCACATCAAACTTTTGGCTAAATAGCACATTTTCTACGTCGAATTTGGCTCTTAGAACCCCAGAGTTTTTATTTTTGTAAAATAATATTCGTATTTCCAAATTGATATACCTTTCCTTGTGACGGTTTTCACCAAGTCGCGCAGCACAGAAAACTTGCTTTGCAAATGCCCGTTTATCTCACCCCCTTTCTTGTACTCATTGCTGAAACAGTTAATATAGAGTATTAATGTCTATTATCATAACACCAGCGAAATTTATCGATTGTACGCAGAATATTAATATGATCCTATTCCATTAAACGTAACATTTGTTGTTATATACAGCTATTTTTTCTTGTAATTAAAAGCAAGCGTTGATTTTGGCACGGACTGAAATGCCCAGTACGCCTACTCCTTTTTCCGTTTCCATGCTTAATTGGCTTTGTATTTTATGGGTACCATGATGTGCTGAAGGTTTTACCCCCTGCACAAATATACGTAGCAGGGACAGGTCTATCAATGCAAAATGTTTCATATGTAAAGCTATGGTAGCAATTTGCAATAATTATTCAATTGGACAACGTTTTGAAAAAGAATATAGTCAACCAAACAATTACAACCAGAAAAGGATTGCTTTTAAATCTACATTTAAAATGTAGTTATATAATTAAACAGTAGAATTACCTTATTGAACATGGCTTCGTGCTCCGTTTACGTCGACTTCCATTTCTCTGTGCCAAGCAAACCATGCCTCTCTTGTTTACAATGGTTTTGTCTTTTGCTAAGGGTATGGGTTTATTAAATGTATCGTGGTTAAACGCGTGTTCCCTAAAACGGTAAAAATGAATACTAAAAAATGTTTCTGGCCCCGTCGCAATGTCACTGCTTTAAAAGTTACATTATACAGCATTCGTACGTTCTTTACCTGGTTTATGTTTTAGAAAGCCGTTTCCACAGAACACAACGTCAAAATGAAAGCCAGAATGCCTGATCAAAGAGTACATGTAGTTAAAAAATATAAGCAAAATGCGCAACTACACAATATTCTTTTTTAAAAACTTGAAATACTTTGCACAGCGAGTTTGAGACCAACAAGATCAAGAGTGACTGATAGTAGGTTCCTATATGTATAATTGTTAAAGATTGATACACGTACCACCATGTTCTTCCCATTGCCACAACACTCAGGCTAACTGCTTTCTTCTTGGCAAGGACGAGTTTCAAGCCGCCTGTGATACGAAAATGTCCTGTTGCAAGTGCACCCATCTCATTCTCAAAGTCGAAGTGCAGATTCAGTTCAGGTTTGAGGCTATAAAAATAAAAATAAGAATTTGCACCCGCAACAGCCTACAGAAGCTTTCATATTATTTCGTTCACATAAGGATATTTTGTCGGTATTTAATCGAATAACACAATCTTTTCGCAGTTACATGTATAATATGAAAAATAATATACCCGTACATGTATAAGTACAAAATATTTAACTTAATTGAATCCTTGTATCGTGAAGCCCCTATTACACGTACATTCGTTGATCCACTCTTACAAATATATGTAATCAAAAACTGTGTTTCAAATTTTGCCAACATGACGGGAGCAAAGGAGTGAGAGTTTTAGGGAAAACCTACCTTATTTCAAAGGGCGCAGTAAATGCAATGCTGAATAGGTCGCCAAAGCCCCAGGATACGCCAACGTCTATTTCAAACTTTATTTAAAAAAAAACATCGCAACACGTTAAATTATTTAACAGGCTCTCAAATATTTCTACTTATACTGGTTTATGGTGCATTTCACTACAATAACTTAAACATGAACAAACTGTTTACAATGGAATTGTTTTTGTTTTCAAATACCCCCTGTACACTTAACTACTTTTATTCTAAACCACATTAATTAATTTCAGATCTCTTAATGACATGATTCATTCTATGCAACCGGTCAGTTTTAACAATTAAACGTTCTTTTGTGGACATTAATTGGTGTCACCAAAATATGAAAGCAGCGGCAAACACAATCTATCTATAAAATTTCCATTACAACCACGACACAGAATACGACACAATGTTGTGATACCTTTGGATAGATAGACATATACCCCTCTGCATCTCCATTTAAGTTAACGGTAGATCGAAGCGGCGTAAAAGGTCTTAACTCTGTAGTGGAGTCCAAGCCCCTTTCCTTTGAATGTGCTGAAAGTTCACAAATGTCGAAAACAATACTTATTATGATAAGCTGATATTGTCTTTGTAAAAGTTTTGGTGTCTTGTCTCTATCTCAGCGTATAGATCATGCTGAAATGTGTAACGCTGACGTATGGGAGATATTAGATATACACTCTTGCCCAAAATGGTTGGTACACGGAAATTTTGGGAGGCGTATCGCCCTGTTTCTTTCATTATTATTGATATTATCAAATTAATACTGTTTATATTGTTAAATATGTGAAGCTGGAGGATTGGTAAAGTCAAGGAGAAACAAACAATGCAAATGTGAAAAAAGCGTAAATTTATTTAGGGTATTTTTTCTCATGCCCCCAAAAAGAGTACTTTTTTTGCATAACAGTACCAAGTGAAAAATTAAACATAAATTTATACTGTGATTGACAATTAATATGAAATTAGGGGGGATTGTCAAGAATCATCTTCAGAGTTCATTATTAATCTAAATAGCGGGCATGCCCACCCCGAGCTTGGATACTGGCCGCCAGACGGCGTGGCATACTGTGAACTAGAGTTACAGCTCTTTGGAGAGGAATTCTGGTCCATTCATCTTGAAGGGCAACTCGCAGTTCATCTAGATTTGCAGGGGGAAGGTTTCTCCTCTGAATAGCACGACCAAGTTCGTCCCACATGTGCTCAATTGAGTTTGCATCTGGGCTTCTTGCTGGCTGTGGCATCAGCTGAATGTTGTTTTGTAGGATAAAGTCTGCAATTAAGCGGACTGTTTGAGGAGTTGGATTGTCGTGTTGCAATCTTAACTTGTCTCTGTATATCCGTCTTGCGAACGGCTCCAGGTTCTGCTGGAGAATGTCTCTGTATCTGGCAGCGTTAAGGTTTTCATCCAGGGGAAGCAATGGGCATATACCGTTGCTGCGAATGGCACCCCATACATGTACAGAACCACCTCCTCCAGCTATTGTTTCCTGGATATTTTCATTTAACAGCCTCTCCCCAGGGAGCCTACGTACTCTCATAGCTGGAGGAGATGGTTCTGTATACGTTTGGGGTGCCATTTGCAGAAACGGTATTTGCCCATTGCTTCCTCTGGATGAAAACCTTAACGCTGCCAGATACAGAGACATTCTCCAGCAGTACCTGGAGCCGTTCGCAAGAGGAATATACAGAGACAAGTTTAGATTGCAACATGACAATCCAACTCCCCAAACAGACCGCTCAATTGCTGACTATATTCGAAAAAACAACATTCAGCCGATGCCACAGCCAGCAAGAAGCCCAGGTGCAAACCCAATTGAGCACATGTGGGACGAACTTGGTCGTGCCATTCAGAGGAGAAACGTGCCCCCTGCAAATCTAGATGAACTGCGAGATGCCCTGCAAGATGAATGGACCAGAATTCCTCTTCAAAGAGCTGTAACTCTAGTTCACAGTATGCCACGCCGTCTGGCGGCCATAATCCAAGCTCGGGGTGGGCATGCCCGCTATTTAGATTAATAATGAACTCTGAAGATGTTTCTTGACAATATCCCCTAATTTCATATTAATTGTCAATCACAGTATACATTTATGTTTAATTTTTCACTTGGTACTGTTATGCAAAAAAAGTACTCTTTTTGGGGGCATGAGAAAAAATACCCTAAATAAATTTACGCTTTTTTCACATTTGCATTGTTTGTTTCTCCTTGACTTTACCAATCCTCCAGCTTCACATATTTAACAATATAAACAGTATTAATTTGATAATAACAATAATAATGAAAGAAACAGGGCAATATGCCTCCCAAAATTTCCGTGTACCAACCATTTTGGGCAAGAGTGTATTACGTTTCAGTGCGGTAGATGCACGAGTGTACTTACTTAGAGTGTATTTCGCAACTGACGTGAAACCAAATGTCGACGAAAATTCGGAGCTTGCTTCAAAATTAGCTTCAAACCACAACGCTGCATTAACGGACACGTCCAGTTTTACCGTTGCCCCGAGAGGGAGAGGTATGAGAGGGAAAGAGATGACAGGAATGGGCTTCCCCTTCCACAGTAACATTTCCAGGTCCGCAGAGACTTCACCATTAACCTTTAATTCCAACTCATAATTGACCTTAGCCTCCGCATCAAACTAAAAGAACAAAACACAAAGTTTTCTTCTGCATATTTCTGTACGATGAATTTCCTCTCTAGTATTATTCCATGGCAGTGTGCCATGATTCTTGGCTGAATATACTAAATAAGAATTGCTTGTATTTATTTTTTAAGTCGTGCATTCACATATTAAATGTTAGTTACCCATATGTATATGCTTTAAAATATTAATCTGATGCTAAGAAAAGAATCATCAAGAGTCATCAATATTTCATAAAAGATCACAAATTTCGTCTTTTCCTTATATATTATTTCTTACCTGAAGCAAATAATGTTTCAAACGGCCTCTTTTGGTCGCAGGGTCCATATCAATTTCAAGCTCACTGGAAGAAAATAAATTGCATTACGCAAACCTGCATGTACTAGGTACTGCCATGGATGTGTTTCCTTACATCGCAGTTAAATAATCGCACAAGAGTCATATAAACATTATGGTATAAACCAGCGCTCCTTTAACCCGCAGCTCCCACGAGGCATCACCTCTTTGCGTTATAAATGGTCATTCCGGAATAAATACTTGTAAAGAAGGGATACCCCCCCCCCTCCTGAAAGTTCGTCTATTTCCTCATGCATACGAACAAAATAAGATACGAGAAATATTCGGATGTTCGTAAAAAAAAAAAAGATGGTGAGGGAACCAAGTGATTTGCACGGTTTCAAAAGAGGGAGAAAGGGATAAAATGACAGCGCAAAGTTCTACTGTACTTGTTGGTGGAAAAGAAATTGCATTTTTTCCAATTTTTATATACTAGTTTAATTTGCTACACTCATACTCTCAATTTATACCGACAAATAATAATATGCGTTATTTATTCATTTTCCGGTAAAGGGTCTCTTCTTTAGCCGCAACGAAAGTGTTTCAATAACAAGTTGATCAGCCCCCACACTACATTTATATGCAAGCAGTTGCACAGTTTATGAATTCTTAACAGAAATAATACTTACAAAGTAAATGAACTGTCGAAATATGCATAACAAGATATACAGTTAAGTTCAGTTGCAACTTCACCATTCATATGCCAGTTCCTCCCGGGGGATTCCTGGGACCGCTCGTGATTAAGAAGCGTGCTTCCGCTTTCAAACGATAAGTCCTTCTCACGGCTCACTTTGGCTTTGAATTGTCCACCAGCCCTTCCTGATGACTGGTCATAATTAAAGTTGCTCCCTACGCCTCTTTCGTTAACACTCCAATGGATTGGTGTTAACTTTTTTGTCAACAAGTCCTTAAGAAACCCTGCCCTCTTCTGGCGATGGTGTGAGTCATTTGTCACTTTTCCAGGCTCGTGCCGATAGAATATCTTCGCATGTTCAAACATATCTACAAAACTAAAAAAATGACCTTTTTAAATAAAGAATACATTTTTCGTGATAAAATTTGCGCAATTTCATGACAGCTACCAACCATGAGCTTTTTAAAGGAATTCTACAGAATTGTAAAAAGAACAAAACTATTCTTGAAAACACGGATAGATATATTGTGAAAAAATAACATTTTGACATACGTAACACTTCATTAATGATGTGCTGTTAATTAAGGTATATTCTTGTAAATTGAACCCAAAACACATACTTTGCAACAGATGTTGATAGTTCTACTTTTCTGTCGGACCGGATCTTTATGCTGTCTATTTTACGGTGTATCCCAGCAACGCTGTGTGGGGGTGGACTCAGGTAACACCCCCACTTGCTGCTCCCCATCACGATGTCACCAGGAGACCAGGTGGACGCCAGGCTGCTGTGGTTTACGATTACTAGGATGTTCGGACCCTTGCACAGAACGCGCTGAAACACATTGGTTATTGAATAAGGTAATCCTTCAGACATATTGAATAGTTCTTTGCTTTTATAAATTTAACAATATAAAGTGCCTGTCAGTTTTCAACAAACAAGACACGTATTAAAGGGTAAAAATGCACTATGTAGCATAATACGGAAGGAAGTACATGTACGTCAGTTTTTTCTTCTTATCAATCTTTTTTGCCTGCTCATCTAACAAATACACTGCAACTAAACCATTAATTGACCTCGACTTCTATGGAGTATATGTATGGAGTATACGCTAAATGGCGTTCAGGACAAATCGTTCATTTTTACTTATATCATATAACTTTTAACTCTTATTTTATTTCAGCATTATTGTCATGTGTTGCGACATAAAACACCCACTAACCTTTACCCCCTCCGTGTCATCCAGAGTAATAATATTTGCCAGTCGTCCATAACTTTTCACTTGAAGTTTTTCTCCAGTCACATCATGCTCTAAGTCTACGTTGTGTGTAAAGTCTCTGCCATTCTGTGTAAATTCGCTGGTCGAAGAATATAGCAAACATACGACATATGCAAGATGCTGCAGTGTCAACGCCATCTTTGTGGGGAACCCAGGGTAGTAGTCCATATACAGACATAAACTCTGTCTCCGTTCACGCGGAGAAATATCGAACTGAACTACTTTCTGCGTTGCTGTGAGAGGAAAGTGTTTACATATTAAAACGGGACAGCAAACATAGAAAAGCTGATAGGTTGTCAATAAAGATTTATTTTGAAGTTGAAAAACTGCTAAGGATAAGGTAAATTAAGATAACTAGCACTTATCATTTTGTTTGGTAGATGTAATTTGTACTTTGGATAAGTCGCCTTTAACTGGTTAGATACGTAGGCACAAAATGTCACGCAATTAAGGTTCTTTGTTTGCTTTGAAGAAAATTTATGTGAATAGATGAAAAGTTTCGCAAAGGCAAATTGAGCACTCTTAGAGCACTCTACCATAAAACCAGTGGCAGATTAAGAGTGGGGTCAGGGGGTCCTGACCCCCCCTCCCTTCGATTGCTTGTCCCCTATTGTCCCCCCTTCAAATAATCCTAGATCCGCCCCTGAAAACACTGAATTTTGAACGTACTTTGTACAGAATCTCTAACACAATCGTGGCTGCATAGTTTCCACTCATAGAAGGTCGCAGTGTAGGGGGGTCTAGCAATAAAGACAAACAGTTTATTTATCACACTACCTAGACATGTTTACTTTCTCTGGTAATCTCCACAAACACACGCTAATCTCATTTTTTCATTTAGCAATTGTATATTAATCAATAAATATTTGCGGACTGACAAGATGTATTTGTGCAAAAACAGTTCAACAATTAATCAAAGCACTCGAGAAAGCATCAGATAAGATGGCCACCTCGGTGCTTTCACTCGGCCGGACATACTTTATTGCTGTCCATATTTTACAATAGGGTATTTAGTTTTTTATCAATCACACTCGAATAGAGCAATAAAAATATAATGGATCTCACGCTCGGTGACGTGTTTTAAATAAAAATAGATTAATGTATCTTTCTTTATCGTCATGAAAAGAACATTTTAGACAGGTTTATCTTAAAGAAATATTTAACAAGTTTCAAGATGATAACTTTGCTACTTAGGGGAAACGTAATTCTTTCTAAGCGTGATATTAATTGATGTGGATGGTAACTTTCAGCTTCATTTTTGATAAGATAAACTTATTTTCGCCAAGGTTTGTCTGGAAACCATGCAAATACAAAACTAGTAGACAGCGAGCCAATTCATGGGATGCGTACTGAAACGTTATTTATACAGACTAAGGGGGTGCAAGACAGGTTCATTAGTCATATAATACCAGTTGTCTTCTTACCGCTTGAAGAGTCTACGTAAATAGTGTAGTTTTTTAGTTTAAACAATAATCATCTGGTAAAATTGAATTTAGCACATGACAGAAAAATGCTGATTGAAAGAGGCATTTTTATTTATCGCAGTTATCTTACATAATAACGAGTGCATGTTTTACAGCTAATTAATGAAATGCGTTGCATTCTGCTTTATGGCAACCTAGTAAGAAAAATATGAAGGCTTCCCAGTTGATAAAAATATATAGAGGTACCACCCGCAGGTAAACAGGTCTGCTATTCGAATACATGATGCATGTATGTAAACACAATGGGCAATAGAAGTGTCACCCCCTACTGAACCAATACTTTGGGGGAGATAAATGACTGTGGAATGATGTGCTACTGGTATCAGTTCATTAACATCAAATTTCACAAAAAGACCAACAATACAATTTCATGGTACAGCGGTTTTATACTCATTGTTCATATTATAAGTAGACCAGGCATTAAAACATTGATTACTCTGATTCAGGGGGTGACACTTCTATTGTCCAGTGTATGTAGGTACAATAACGACACACATTAGTCAAAAATTGCTATGCGACTAATTAAAAAGGTTATTAAACACAATTAAGACAGCCTTAGATAAACAAGAAATGGTTAAAACAATGTTAAAACAATTTCATTACAAGCGCAGTCTGATAGCTCTCTTAACATATTAAGCCTTGTTTATCCGCACACAAGTAGCAGATATGTAAATTCAAACATCAATCATGCTTTAAAATCACAATTCAAAATACCATTATAACGGTTCTAATATTACCGTTTGCATTGCTAAAATGTCAGTAACGGTTATATTCAAAGCAAAGTTTAATTATTTCATTCCTGCACCATTCAAGGGGTTACCTGAACGGTTGTATACGTCCCCGATGGTGATATTGCCGTCATCGAGCCGTAAATCTTCAACATATCTGGCACCCTGGGTATATTCAAAGTCATTTCAAAAGTCTCCGTGGGAGGAAGTGTGTCACAGGAACCCTCTTTGGAACCAAAGCACACTTCAAAGCGAAGGGGAAGGGTGTTTGGAAAACCGTCAAAGGTCTGGCGCCAGTTTACTGTACACTCGTCCTTCTGGCATGCGATAGTGGGTTTGATGCCTAAAATCCAACAGAAAAATTAACGATTGAGATAATAAAACTATCCTTTAAAGCTGACATACAAAATGTTGTAAATTTCTATAATTAAATATTATACATGGAATTTGTTTTCGTCACAATATTGATATTTAAAAGATGTTTCCTTTTAACTAAACTTTGAAATATGATGAATATTTGATATAAATAATATACTTTTTGCTACGTTTAACCTTTCTATCTCCTTGAGTCAGCAGATGATTGATTTAATCTTAACTGCAAAGACAACACATGTTGAGGTGCCTGGAGCAGAGTTCTTACAATTCTAAGTTTTTCAGATCCTCAATAGCACGTGTTTACTTTTGTGTGTATTTAGATGTTTTTTCTTTTTTTTTTTTTTTGGGGGGGGGGGTGCTTTCTTATATATTTTTGCGTGAGTAATACAATTTTCCATCCCAACAATGACAATGAATTTAACAACGAGTATGGTTCAATCTAATGTTATAATGATTAGACTTTCTGAAACAGGATCTGGCCCATAGTATCATTTGATATGTTCATTTTATAACTTACCTTTGAATAATGGCGTCGTAGCCAAAATAAAGACAGCAGTATTCTTGGGTTCACTGACTTTACCAGCTGAATTTTCAGCCATTACCTCCACGCTGTAGGGTCCATCTTTCAGAGAAAGTCCATCGAAGCAAACGTCTGTACGTAGTCCACTATCAGTCCAGTTCACAACAGTTTGGTTTTCTGGCCCCAGAACACGTACGACATACCGATGAATGCCAACAATGTCTAGAAATCCCGACCAGGAGACATGAATGCTCGAATTAATGGACTGGTATGGCTTAAATGCATGGAAAGGACGGTCATTCGTTAGCATGGAGAATACACTGGCATTTTCGGATATCGGTGGTTTGGTGACAATATTCACAAGTTTAGCGTTGGCGACCGTCACCAGGTCAACTTTATTGCTACACCGTATGGTCACGTGGACATCTTCACCTTGATGAAGGGTTACAGAAACAGGGCCTGTGCGGCTAGTGTTGGTTGTTGGTTGCCAAGGTATCAAGTCTTGGGCGCTTGTGGACCGCCCTGAAATACCAGTAGACAATGACTTCAAACACTAAATTGTCTTTATAGGAAAGGAAATGTGGAAAGACACTGAGATAAAAATAAATTCCTCAAACAAGATGTTTGCCTTTGTATGAAATAATAATAACCTGGAAAGGCACACATACCATAATCACCAAAAAAATCTGGAAACAAATTTCCAATATATACAACAGCATATTATGCTGGTCGAAGGATTATGTTATGCAGTACCAGAACAATGCAAAAATTAACACAAGTATGCATTTTCCACTCATACCACATAATTCTTACCCATTGTCCAGGTGCATCCGGTTACTGTTGTTTCATTGTCGAATGCTTCCCATTCAGCCCAAACTTGGTAGTCAGATGTTTTGTTTTCTGTTTCAAGAACAGAAACGTAGACACTATGAATAATAGGTGGTGTCCAATCTAGAATAAGGACCTCAGAAAAGAAGGCAGCAGTGGACACGGCGTTGTTTTCAGAAATAACTGTGGCGTAGATTGGAGTTCCATGTACTGCAGACACATCGAAGACAGCACTGGTGGCTTTGCCTATGTCAATAAGAGGCTGCAATTGGAATCCGCCTTTAGTAGTCCCAAGGCCTACCATGTGTCTCTTTATACCACTGTCAGGGTCATTGATACCATGGGTTATCTCAATGGAGGACTGTCCTACCTGCCTTAGTACCGGTCCACTAGAATGTGTCCCCGAGCTCCTGCTGCAGATCACAGCAGTTGCTGCCTGAATTCTGATTGGTTGTCCATATCTTTCTAACTGGCAAACATATGGCGCTGATGATTTCATAGAGTTGTAAATTGAGACTGAGCATGATATCTTGTTTGGCAATTCCTTACAAACGAATGATTCCTGAATGCCCTCGCATGACAAAGTAAGAGCAGTTTGGGTGTCATCTGGATGTAATGTTACACCCAACATCCCAGCATTGTAAAATAAGGTCTTTGGTATGTTCAATGGAATGATACTAAGTATACTCTCATCGTTGTTAAACTTGTATACCTCCCTCCGCGAATGATTTGAACTTGGAACTTGCAAGGTGACTTGTTTAAATGAGTAACATATGTTATCTGTTGGCGGTGTTATATCAATGAACAATCTCTCACTATGTACCCATTCAGACACGAGTCCTGCTGCATCCACGCCTCGTACAGACGCCCACACATTACTGGCGTGCGTCAAATTTAAACCCTGCAGTTTGATGGCGTTGTTCAGCCCAACGTCAGTTATTCGATGGATGTCCGCGAGACCTGGGGAAGAACCAATGGTCACTTCGTAATGGGATATGCCGGAATGATAGTCATCAAAGCCTGTCCAAGAGACACCAATTGTTTCCGCCGACTGCTGACTTGGCTTGTTATGAAAGAAGGCCGTGTTATACACTTTACCAGTAATTGGTTTATGATTGTCGATGGTTACACCATCCGAAGTGGACGACGAAGACAGACCAACCTTGTTAAAAGCCACGATGGTCGTATAGTACCTGACGCCTTCCACAAGTTCGAGGTCAGGTGACGTAAAATTTGTGGATAGCCCAAGGTCAATTGTACCATGAACGTCATCGCCTGCAACAAAAATGGCTTAATTAACCCCATAATGTAAACACGGCGAGTTTAACACTTTCTACGTGATTTGTAATGTATTCAATATCATGGCAGTGCTACATAAATTACAAATATATAAACGATTGCGCTCTCTGTGTAAAACAAATCCGCACATTACTTACCTTCGGGGAATGTTCCTATGTGCAGCTCATAGTGATCAATTTGGCTCTGGGTGTCAGTAAATACATCTGTCCAGTCTGCCGAGAGAGTATGCATGTTTCTTGAAAATTCAATGTCAACGTCACAACGGTCCCCACAGTCTATCACGTGTTTTCCTCGGCGCTGTGATGGCGGTGTTAGGTCAACCATGACACCATTTGACATGTATTCAGTGAATGTGCTAAAGTCTGTCCATGAACGAAGATAGACAGCATACTTTTGTTTGTGGTTAAGGAATCTACCACCTGGAAGACAATATGAAAAGTAATTCAAGTGGCCAATGTCGAACCATGGTTGCTCTGTTGTCAAGTCAAATATACCGTCCCCGCCCGTGGAATTGTAAAAACCTATACTCCACTCATATCTTTGTATCGAGCCGCCGTTGGCTTTTGGTCCAAACCAATGTCCCCAAAGGCATTTTGAAGAACACGTAAACGCAGCATCCGATAATATTCCGTCTGCTACGACAATCTTGTTTTTGGCTGTATTTCCCTTTCCCGCTGTGCAATTAGGCAACGCTCCAGCAGACATGCATTTCCTACCTACCACTGCGCATGTGCAGTCAGAATTACAGTAATGGATATCGCAAGAGTGTTTTTCAATGTCCAAAATTCCCGAAGTGCGCGCAGAATTGCCACTGACCACCTTTACCGTGATTCTACCAATATGACTTCTCAGTCCAGCGCCATTTTCTGCCCATAAAGCAAGGAATAACAATTGCCCTGGTATAATACCAACAGTTGTGTTGATATTAATGGTCTGAAGGTCTCCGATTTCGTGTTTGGTTTGGACAGCCCCACCTGTGACATTACTGTCACTGTAGGAGGTACCGACGGCAACGTAGTAGTTACTGATCCCTGAATGGGGGTCTGCGAATCCTGTCCAAGAAAGATTCACGGATGACACTCCATCCACTATAGTCCAAATCAAAGGTTCTTTGAAACCTCCGATATGAGGTGGAGATGAATCCACAAGAACTGGTTCTGAAGTTGATGATGTACACAAGCCTGCTGCGTTGCAAGCTGTTACGGACACAGTGTATGTATCTCCATCGGATAATGTCTGATTCCGTGGCAAATTTAACTGAACAAAATCAACATCGCCAAGCTCAACGGGTGGTATGGGAACAGCGCCATCGTGGTGCGTGTTTATTTTGACAAGATGGCTAATCACTGGACTGTTGTCATCGGTGAACTTCCATGTGCACCTAAGTTGTGACGGATCAAACTGTGTGTCATTACGCCTGGAAACTTGAATATCCTGCAAGTCGATTGTCGGAGAAATGACAACTTTGGGCGGGGTGACATCGATTATCACAAACTGTGAAGACTGGTTAACGGTTAACCCTGCACTGTTTTCTGCCAAAACTGTAGCATAGAGGCGGGTCGCTTCTGGAAGCTGTAGACCAGTACCAATGACAGACGATGACGAGTAAACGTTGGTCATGTTCTTAATGTCACATATGTAAGGTTCTGTGCCAAGACACCAGCTGTAGCGTTTTATGCCACTCTCTGCATCATGGAAACCAAACCATCTCACTGACACCGATGACCTGTTGGTTATAGAATATTGACAACCTAAGTGAATTATCTTCAAATATCGCCGTCGGGCTTAACCAAGAATAATGTAAAGGATAGAACAAATAATTTTGATTAGGGCTCTACGAAAAAGGTCCACATAGTCGCTATATGAGATAATCATAACGTGATTCCAAGGTATCAAAACTAGGTAAGCTTGTAGTGTATGGCTTTCGCTATTTCTTCTGCAAGTCAAAATAATTGTTATCATAATTATATTGAACATTAGGCAATTTTTATTGAACATGTGTTTTACATTACTTTTCGGCGACATAATGTGCATGACTCCCTTCAAACCCAGTCTTGACTATGCCTGCAATTGGAGCTGTGGCGTCAGCTATCACGCCGTCAGATGTCGCTCTTGAACATAGACCGACATTGTTACATGCCTCGACAGTGGCGATATACTTCACTCCTGGTTTCAGGTGATTCTGCATACGAACTTCTGCAACCGAACCGCGATTTCCACATTAATATATTAAATTTAATGACAGACGGATGTGGTATTTATCAATCCCTTTTGCAGTAGTGAATCGAACTGATGCACTATGTTTTGCTCGAGATGACACGCTTACCAGTACGATTATATTACTACGGTATATGTAAAACGTAAGAACTACACTGAGAATGCAATATGTATCAGAGGACCGTTTTGTTACAATAATTCAATCTATATCGATGTTTGTATACTGACAAAAATTGTTATTCACCTGTGCGGTTCCCGATATTTGCAAAAGCTGGATCTTGGTCTTCTTCGTGCACGGCCAGCTTGTATGACTGAACTCCAGAATGAGGGTCAATGAATCCACCCCAGTTAACAGATACGCTATCAAGTCTGTCCTGGTAATCTATATCTTCCTAAATGAAAATAAATGGCACGTTTATATATTGCAGGAAATATACCACTTACTGTAAATGAACCTTGAATGTATTCCGCAATAAATGTGAGAAGCAGCGTTAAGTTACTATTATAAAGACTGCCTCCATTTTTATTTATTTCGGTTGTTCATTGTGTCACTTTTTACTAATAGAAAAAACGCAATAACTAATAAATTCAACAAACTGCAAAAACCGTGTCTTTGAAAATTAAACTGACCCGTAAACCATCCCTTACAAATCCTGCTGCCGGAGGCGTGGAGTCATACAGGAATGGCGGCGCATGACATGTCTTATGCACGTTAGCCCCATTTGTAACCTACGGCAAGTGAAAGGAAAGAAATGCAGTTCAAAACATTGACACAAAATTTAAGGAAATATAAGTAACTATATCAATAAACTTAAACACTGAAAATCTTAATGATAAAGGGACCTTACGGTAGGACCAACGGGAATTATGTCAATACCCCACCTGAACTTGAACATAATACGTGTGGCCGTCCAGAAGTGGAAGGTCTTCAAGAAAGGCGGTAGTTGAGTGATAGGACGTCAAAGCCATGATGTCCTGTTGATGGGGACCTGAGCCTATCGCCAGTTCAGTACGGGAAACGCCGCTCTCGTCGTCTTTGATACCATTCCAATGAACTTGCAAACTTGAACTTCCGGTTAAGGCAAAGTGTCTATGAGGAGAACCCACAAGGACTGTCCCGCAGTCAGGAGGTGTGGCGTCAACCATTATACCTTTGGAAGTCGCAAACGAACTCAGTCCAACATAGTCAGTCCCTGAAATAAAACAAGTATATAAAATTCGTTGGAAAGTTAATTTTACTCTATAATTTCTTTTCTTCAATTTTAATAATCAATACGGTTTTGTTATACCCTTGATAGTGAAGTAATGCACCATTCCGTTGACCAGGCTTATGTTGTTGACAATCACGTGTGTGGATGTCTGGACTTCCGTGTACCGAACAACGTCTTGAGCATAAGGAGTTGTGCCTAAAGAATAATAAGAAAAAAAAAGAGTTTGCATTACTTTATCAATTTATGGATATAAAGGTATCTTACATTACTGAAGTACAAATACATGATCCCTTTATACAAACAGGCCAAGATTGCTGTAGCGGCAGAGTAGAGAGCAATGGCACCAACGTTTTTCGATAATTATATGAACTGCATTAGTCTGTTGCATAACGTGTCATTGTTCATACTCTAATTCGTCAAGTAATTCATACTCTTTAGTTTCCATACAAAGTCTTACCAATGGCGTAGCTAAAGGACCTTATGCCTCCATTAACAGTGTTCCCCAATTCATCTTGGTCTACAAATCCCTGCCACGAGAGCGCAACCGTAGTTGAATCCAAGAGGTGTCCATTCATTGAGTTCAGAACAGACACGTGACCTGCGCTAGGTGGCGTCCTGTCGATATAGAAACCATTACTACACAGCCTTATCTCTGGAAGTGTCTCTGCAAAATGCTTTTCCCGCACGATGACTTCTTCCTTTGCCATGGTACAGACAAAGTGTTTGTAGCCCTCATATAGTTCTACATTTACAAGACTTAGGATGTTCCCGTTTGTTGTTGTAGAATGGTGACACATTGGATCCGTCGCACAGTCATCTGGTATCTTAGGATGTCTGGTGACAAACCAGGATACCTTGGAATGTTGGGAGCCAACTAAAACAGCCCCTAGATCAGATGGATGGCTTATGAAGTCGACGTCCAGGTTTAGAATTTCTTGAAGGACGGGTCCAACATTTGCTGCACGCAATGTACTCCCATATTTCTTTATGTCTTTCTGTCTGAGTTCAAGGACTGAAGGAACGTTTATCGCCGTTGGTAGCTTGAATGGAGCAGTAATTGTGGACGACAAACCATTTTTGGTGTATCCTTGGAGGAGCACATACAACTGATGTCTATTGGGTAGTCCCAGTTCTAAAACCTGTCGATCCTTAATGCAAAAATTCAACGAATTTTAGAAAGATACGTGTACAACTGAATAGACGACTGTCAGCATGCAATTAGCCATCGTGTTCTAAATACGTATCACATGCAGTAACATGTATACCAATAAGTGAAAAACAACTTTGGTTTAAGGCAAATGATATTGTTTTGAAAATAATAAACGTAGGTTAATCTTACCTCCACAGAAGATGCATTAGACATCTTTACAAACCATTTGCAATCTGCTGGGACGTGGTCAGTGTACGCTGATACTGTCCATCTGTAATGACTGACGACATAATTACTGCCGAAGAGGATAAAGCGTTCCCATTTGATATTTATATCCATCTCCAAACTGTTTGAAGAAGTCCGCTGACTAGAAGCATTCACGCTCAGTAACCCGACTAAAGGAGACCTGTGGGAAATAATCACCCCGTCCGAACGAGACTCAGAAAGACATATAGCATGGAAACATCGACGCACTACAAAAAAGTAGCGGCGACCGACCTGAAGATCAAGATTAGAAAACTTATATTCAGACTGTAGTCCAGTGATTACAAAAGGGGTCACAAATGACAAGGCGTCACAGTCTTTTTCGTCATCGGTGCATTCAGCTTGGCCCACGGCACATTCAAAATGGAACAGAGGTTTAGAGATCCCTTCATGAAAGTACCAATGGCCCGATAGCGCGTTCAGCGAAGTTTGAAACACCAGATCAACAGCACAATGTGAAATGGCATAGTCATGGATATAAACAGTCTTGTTTCCGTCATTCCGTATGACAAACGAAATATTTCTCGCCATAGGGAAAATTGTTACTGCAATTATCTGTCCAAAACCAGTACTTGGCCAAATATCTGTTTTCTCAAAGCTGTAATCACTCGATGAAGGGAAGATTAAATGTGGTATGTCTGACTGGTGTATTGAAACGTTGAGCCATACGGTATAATGAGAACCGACATGGATAGTGACCAAATCGTGGAGTTCTTTGCTTTTTCCCGCTGCTATTATCAGTGACACTTCAGATATGAAGCGAGGCTTCCTACACCTTGTACCATCAAATACCATCAATGGCTTGTACTCTTTTGGGTTGATGATAATAAATCCATCTGAAGATGCAGATACTGTGCCGGCGGGTGTGCTGCCGTTCACGGTAAATAAGAGCTTCGTGCCATTAGGCAGACTGGTTGTGTTCACACAGAACATCGTTTTATTGGCGATTGGAATGTCATGATACGTCATTAAATCTATTACCCCTTGTCGTCTCCCTATACCAACCGAGTAATGGACATCGGCTTTATGATGGTCAAAGCCTTGCCAGGCTGCACATACTGTTCTCGGAGAAAGGATGAAGTCTATGTCTTCCAGTGTGTTATTTGGTTCGACATCATAGACGCGACCTACTGCTGGCTTCAAGGCTGTTGGAAGTTGAATAGAGCTTGAGGCAACGACTCGCGAAAGACCAGCCGCGTTGGTAACTCTGACGAAAATGACAAAGTCGATTCCGAATTCGCGCTCAAATTCTTGTAGTGTAGACATCTCTAGATCTTCACAGAAGTGTGTAACATTAGAACAACTGCCTGTTACTGTCTTGAAGTGTTGTACAGCCTCTTCTTCATCATAAGTACCTACGATTGCAATTGGAAGTAATCAATTACTAAGCATTCATATTTGCTTAACCCACGGAACTTGTTCTGGCATTAAATGCAGTGATGATTTAACATGATGCATTTGTAATAAATTTCATCACCAGTGATAAGTTGCCATGTGTTTACGTTTACTTATTTGTGAGTTTTAGAAAACTAACGTAGGTTGAGGTCGAAACAAATCACCGAACTTACCAACTGCTATTTCTATTGTTGCTCCCTCTCCGTCCAGTAATTGATTAATTCTCCAAATAATCACAACACTGCTGTCAACAATACCAATGATCGGCTTCCCAACAAACGTCGGTGGAGATTCGTGCAAACGAATAGGCCCAAGTGATGCAGTGTTTGATAAACCTGCTTTATTTTTTGCTTTGATCACAAGGAAGAATCTTGACGTATCCCCAAGTCCAGAATGTGACCGTTTGAAATAAGTGTGGTTGTGAGTGGAATGAAACCCTACAATGTCTGGATTTAAAATATTTCCATCGTTGGACGATATACCGACTTCAAATCCATGTATCTGACTTTCTTTATCATACGCCTCCCACAGCAAATTAACGGCGTCAGTTGGTAAAGCGATCTCAAAGGAAATATTTTGAGCTTCCGAGCACATTGTCTTTAATTCTGTGTAGTTGTGAATGGTCATATTTTTCACTTCTTTTTCTGGAAAGATGGACACGGGAACACCTTGCAAACACCTTTCAATACATTCTGGTGCTCTTCCCAAGAGCTTGCTCTTTGTTAAGTTATGTGTAAGTAGCCAAATTGTGTCCCCGTCACATACTAAAGTATTGCGAATGCGTCCACTTGGTAATCGAACATTGTAGATTTCTGGTGGGGATGTGTCTATTACAATGCCATCAGAGCAGGCAACTTCTGAAGGTTCCACCGCATTGTTTAATGCTATAACTGAGAAAACGTAATGACCCGGTTGTGGTGCAAGAAATGAGGCCGATGTTAGGGTGGTCAATTTAGTCTCATTTCCTGGCTGACTTTTCAGAAGGCGCTCTTTGGAAAGACACTGTGGTGATATTGCCACCTTATACGTCGCTATATCACTTTCGTGGTCATAGAAGCCATACCAGTGCCCGTGTATGGTTAAATCAGTTTGAAAATCTCTGTCTTTTCCGGATGGACCGTCAAGGACTGTGCCTACCATTGGAGGCGACTCGTCCACGTGTACAACCAATGTGTCTGTGGTCACAAGCATGGCGTTATTAATTACTTCGATAGTAAAATGATACTTGCGATTATGCTGCCCTATGTGCGTCTTATCAGCTACAAGGGAGTGAAGCCCAATGGTGTAGTTGCAGAATTCACATGGACCGACGGCTGGACAGTAATGGCAGTTTGGATCGGGGTGTTCACCCTGAAGTAAATAGATATGCTGTGTATTGTAATTTAACATCTACAAAAGGCTAGTCTTTCTGCAGTGTGTGCATTAGATACGTTACAATATAGTCAAATGCCCTACGCAAAACATTGTATAAAACATGTTTAGCCCGTGAAAATCATGCCTTAAGTCACTAATACGTGAAAACCCTTTACCTTACCTTATAGGGAAAGACACTCTCGGACCCATTTCCAATGTCACTACTGTACCGCTCCGTGCCCAGTTTCCATTTGACAGTGTACAGTCCACTTTCTGGATCCTTGGCGTTGAACTGGAGTGTCATTTTGGAGAGATCTGTCCCGCTGTGAACATAGAGCTGCTTATGACCGTCTCTAACCAACCACATGTTAGAAATCTCTGGTTCCGAGCTGTCAATGTAGACTGTGACATTGTCCACCAGCGTATTGTTCATTATATCTATAGCTTTTATGAAGATGGTGTAACTTTCGCCATCTTTGGGACTGATCTCAGACAGATTCAGTGACTGATCTTGAAAGTTCGGGACGTTTTGAAACGCCGATGCAGGTGTAGGCGAAGGTAGTTGTCGTTGAAATGAGTACTGGAAGTTGACGATGCCGTGAATATTCACTGAACCGGTAATGGGAAGATCACCGGTGATTTGATCATACGCAACAGAATTGTTCGTGTTATTCCGTATGGGTCGTAACTGGTTGTGATGGAAGTGATGAGTATTATGAAAATGATCTTCCCATTTTAGCTGGATCGGAATATGGTTGCCTTGCCACAGGTATTTGGCACCTGAATTGGCTGATGACAGTGTAAAGGGTTTGTGCTCGTTGACTTCCACTCGTGAAGAGTTGTCATACAGCACAAAACGACGCGCTTGATTCACATTTCCGGCAATGTCCTTAACGGTCAGTAAGAGAGCATACAACTCCGGTTGATCAGGGAGTTCAATATCAATAGTTGTATTTGTTGTCACGTATTTGAGAGTACTTTCGTGCTTTACCATTAACATGTCATTGCCACCGTCGGCAACCTTATGTACGTGGATTTCGTAGTGTTCTATGCCAGATGCTTGGTCTTGAACAGATGTAGACGGATCAGACCAGCCTTCAAATGACAAAGACAGTCGACCATTTCTGGTAATGCGCTGGGGAACGTGCAAAGGCGCCCATATACACGTCTCATTAGCCGAGCAATGTAAAGGAGCAACTGAGTCAAATTTCATGCATACTACATGAGATGCAGTAGTATCGTTGTAATAAATTCTAGTAGAAAGAGCCTTATTATTCAGGGCGTCAAATGGTACAAAATAACCCCCGCCCTTTGCCTCAAACTGTGCGCAAAACCTGAAATGTACGAAAAAACGGAATGCCCATGTACATTTACATTACATTATTTCCATTTTTTTTTTTCATTTCTGACCAGTATGTACTTACTGTTGATTAAAGGAGGGGAAACTACAGATGAGCTGGCTGTTTACAATATATACTATCAGGAAAAGAGATAAATATTATTGGGTTGGCATTCCCGGACACCAACACAATAAAATAGTAACAAGACCCAGCATCACATAACCAGAACCATCGCAACAGACCCCAATGGTTTATAATGTTCAAGATCACAAAAGAGGATGCATCAATTTTACTGCTGGCCAACTCAGTGGATTGAAAAGAAAGATAAACCCGTTATGAGTATCAAAAGCAGGACATAATGGCAAAAATATGCAGTTAATGGAACCAAAATGAATTACATTTGGGAAGTGAGTTGGATAATGTGAATGAAGCTTCAAAGATGTGCAAATATCCAGAGTGGGCCATTGCTAAAGTGATAAACAGTGTTCTGTCTGAAAATTGAATTACCATCCTATGATGCAATGAAAAATGAGTGCAATTTTCGTTTATAGATTTGCTAAAAGAAGTATAAATTAATAAATATGGAAGGTCACTAAACACACTAAGCGGTCAATTTTATGTCGTCAGTAAAAACCATGTCTTTGTTCTTTTGGGACAATTTATACCTTCTAATCAATGAGACGGACTCTATTACCCGTATTATAAGGCTAATTTGACCTTGACGTTTTTGAAGGGATTGACTTGATGGCTTAGCAGTTCCCACTTTTGCTCTTCTGCAGTACGTTTGATAGTACCAGACAAGGCCACGAGAGAGTAGAATTATCAATCTGACTGCTTTTATCGGCTGGGCCCCGTAACTCGAAAGCGTCGCGTATTGCGAATCGCGTTATCACATAGAGGCCACATTGTATATGGGACGAATATGGGCGAGTTATGGAATCGAGACGCTTGCGCAATCGATGCTTTCGAGGTACGGGGCCCTGGTCTCTTCGGTCTAATCACCACGAAAGGAAAAAAGTTCTAGTCGAAATATTCGAATCATGGCATAGTGGCCAGGAATATGAAGTTAGCAGACTACAAAGTAAGTGCTTTTGAACATCTGGGGTTTATAACACTCTAAACATTTTACCCTCCCATAATGGCAAAGCAATTTCATTTCTTAGTGAATTTTCCGGCCAGACCTTCAGTACCACTCCTAGCTTTCATCTGCGTTGTTTATGTTCAAGATCACAAAAGAGGATGCATCGATTTTACTGCTGGCCAACTCAGCGAATTCAAAAGAAAAATAAACCTCTTATGAGTATCAAAAGCAGGACATAATGGCAAACATATGCAGTTAATGGCACCAAAATGAATAACTGCACTTTGGGATATTTGGGGTTAGTAACACTCCCAATATTCTCATTCGCAAAAATGGAAATGCATGCTTATTTTAAGCATATTTGCAGGCTTTTGTTTAATTAGACCTAAGGGACTAAGGGTCTCTTAACACATTCACTCGGAGAAACCGGGGCACAAGATTCCGCGGGAAATTTGGACAAAGACTCATCATGGTATAACAGGGGAGTTAAGGAGGCAATTTACTATAGTACATCCCTGCCCACAACCCAAGCCTGAACCGTGACGGGGATAGACACCAAATGTCACACTCGTGGTAGCATTATTATCAAGACATTAGTGAATATTGCTCAGTCTCTTAATAACACGCGCTGAGGAAGGTCACGGAGTGACCAAAAGCCTTGAGCTTTAATTTAGTGTAAAAAAGAAAATGCATATTCACTAATGGACCACTGGTGAAATTGTGTACGATATTTTCTCGCAAAGTTAATAATGTATTATATTATAATATATTGCCATCTCCAAGTGTTCCTGACGTAAAATATTTCATAATTTCCTGTGCTGCTTTGAAACAGAGGGCGTAATTTACTTACCTTTCGCCATTGTGCAGAGGAGGCAGAGAGAATGATGAAAGTGTGTGCTTGCACGAAACTAAATCACTGTAGGGAGATGATCGACTGAAGTTGTGAGTGCACATATCAGCTGTCACATTGGTCGTGCCGTGGTAAACAAACGAAGCCGGTGCTAAAAATATACTAAAAACCATAATTCCCTTTCTTATTCTTGAATTACCATATTACATACCCAGACCGGTAGCCCATAAAGGTATACACATATTAGTTAGAGAAAGGTGCACATCGATGTATAAAATATGCAATTTAAAGCCCGTATTATTTACGGAGGTATGCTTAACTAGTTAGAAGTAACTACAAGAACAATTTTAGAGAACCATTCATCATAAATTTTAAATGCAAGTGTTGAAAATATTATAAGAAACTAAAATACCCAATCGAGCGGTTCCTAAAGTAACTGAAGCCGAAGTAACGCCGAAGTGGTATTCCTGTATCCTGAGTGGCTTATCTGGTATTCCAGTTATTTTGAAATTGAAGCTGAATGTAAAGCTCAGTGAGACTGGTTGGAAATTGATATAGGCGCCCTGAACGTTTTGACATTCTCTCGATACATTATCTGGTACAATTGAGTTGGCCATTTGACCATCTTGTGACGTAATGCCGATGTCACATGTAGTCAAGTGAGGCTTTTTTGAACCTGCAACTGAGATTAAACAAAATACTTCATCCAACTGCGTCGAGTTAAACAGTGATATATATATGTGCACGCGAAAGCCTATTTAGTGCATTAATTATGGTTACCCAGTATGATCATTTTAAGTAGGTAGGTAATAATTACTAATGGACAAAAATCCTGAAGAACATGAGTTTTATCCGATACCTATAACTGTTGTCCGTACATACATGTGCATATTCAAACCAGGCACGGTCATAACTTACTGTCGCACTGTCCTTTCCGACTGGTGAATCCATCAACACAGGTACACCCACGTGAATAAAGCCCATCGGTGCAATTCCCTGGCCAGCAGTGGTATTGTTTCCAAGAACAGGTTGCTGATCAGATAAAACGCATAGAGTTATTGACCTGGCGCATTGTTGTACGTTGGGCTAAGATAAGCTTAAGCACGTTTTGAACGGGGTTGAAATGACGTTGTGTTTAACTTTGAAATCATCACCCTTACCTAAACATTCTCTGGATGTTCCCGCAGGCCAAAATACAGAGGTTGTAATGTTTCTACCTTGGTCTGAACACTTGGCGCACCCAGAATCAAAGACATTGATGCTTGTGCATGTTTCTCTCACACAGTGGGGTATCAGTGAGCAATCTAAAATGACATATATACAGACTCCAATCAAAACATGTGCAACAGTGTTACCTAGCATACGTAATGTGCACATTTCAGTAAAACAGGCAGATTGAGAGAAATTCAAGAGACTACAGAACGTTAGTTCTGGAATATGGACACTCGTTTTTGTATCGAAGGCCACTTGTAAAAGATTTAATATATGGTATCTATTGGCGGTTCATAAAAATGTACCGTAAGCTCGTTGCGATTTAAAGTCCGGTGCGACTTTGTTATACACCCAATATAGCAATGGTACAGAAAGGTAAGCAAACAAAAAATAAATTTAATACACAGCGTTTTCAATTTGGGAAAAGTTGACTGGTTCTTAAGTCATTTTTCCTGAATATTTGACCGTACTTAACATATAATTTAACAGGGTCCGTAAAAGGCACTGATTTATGTAAGATATGTGCATTCTTGTATACATGTATGTTTTTCGATAAAAAGTCAAAATCGATGAAAACCAGAAATACAGGAAATTTGGCACGTATGGGGTAAATCTCCGCCATCAGTGTGCTTACAAACAAACCCAAATATACAAATACTCTACGTTATGAACATAAGGATTTTCATTAGAAACCGGTCTTTTTACCAAACAAAGTCACACAGCATTTTTTTAAACGCATTGGCATTTATAGTGTGAAATATCAGATGTGAAGGACAGCGACGATGACGACATGGCCAGACAAAGATATATACATGTGTACCGACACATACAGTGTCTGTATATTAAAAGTGTACCAGTAATAAATAAAGTGAAAAAAAAACAAATGTGTAAAACTGACACATTTTTAGACAATAGTGCACAACGGTGTGAAATCTGAACCTTAAAACATTGTGATATCTACATCCAGTTCTATCAGCTTTAATTCGGCAAAGTCTAAAATATTGTTTCAATATTTGTAGAAATGGGTTCATTATTTCATGTTTTTGATTATAAAGTCATTTTTTATTTTCAATTTGATGTATCTGATATAGGAGATTTCTCAGTATCAAATAATTAACTGTCAACGGGTTTTATAAAATATTTTTCTGACTTAGGACACTGAACAAAATACAACTGATTTTTGAAGACGTTCTCATAAAAACAAATCTTATTTCTGTAGCCAAATGTTCACAAGCACAACGAAGCTCTGTTTTTGCTCCAAATTAGGTAAGCTAAGTCCATATGACTGAACATTGTCATTTATTAATGACGAAAACCAATAAGATACAAAGTTACAAAACTGGGGAGATAATCAAACATCCCCCAAACTATATAAGTGCTAAATATAAAAATAATAAAGTATGTTAATGAGTGTAACCAGGATTAATTAAAAAAGATATGAGAAATCGCAATAGCTATAGGAGCAAAAAGTTGCAGTGTAGCTGCTAAAACTGCGGGCAAATATCTCCGCAGCTACAAAGCTGAATGACTCCTCACTGATGCAGCTCGACAGAACTAGTCCCCAAAACATCTTTCATAAAATATAAATGTGTGTGCCTAATACACAGCAGCTAAGACATTCCTTAACCCTAGACATCTGTTATCACCTTGAATTGGTCAACTACTTAAGATCAAAATGTGCAGACACAAGACCCAAACTATGACTAATTTCCTATAAACAAAAAGTTGATGTATTACCAAAGAGTTAATACCACCACTAAAACAAACCATTTGCTACATAAATACAATTAAATATCTTAATTGCAGTATTTTCACTTACTTGCAACGCAGGTTGAATTAAGTTTCCTCCAGCTGGGGCAACATACCTGGGCCGTGTATGACTTCCTTCGCGTAACCCATCGATTATAGTATTCCACTTTTGCTCTAAATAAATAAATATTATAAGATTTTGATCTTATTTTTATTTTATTATTAAAATGATAAAAAACGCTGCAGTCAGATTATATGCAGATATACATATATTCCTATATTTTCCAATTAAGTGCCATTTCACGAGAAGGGTGGATATTCACAAATTCAGCCCATTTCTGTGTTTGATAAATGTTACAAACTTTGCAGCAAAGAAAGCACTCTAAAAAATCTGGGCCCGGTTTTATAAAGGACATTTAGCACTAACCACCGGTTAAATCCAGCATTTAACTTAAACGACGTTTAATCGGGTTTCGTTTAGCACTAACCAATAGTGAAATCTTCTTAACGGTTGGTTAAATTTATACGCTCGACAATAAATTCCTTAAACGCCGGATAAAAATGGCATACCTGCTGCGGTTTGCCAGAAATCCTCGCAGATATATACCTTCTAGACTGAGGAGAGACAGAAATTTCAGTACAGATTTATTTGATTTTGATGGAGCAACTGAGCAAGAACTCATTGAAAGATTTAGATTCAGTAGAAATTCGATACTGTATTTAGAATTCTTACTTCAAAACCAACTAGCTCCAGAGACGGAAAGGAATCATTCTTTCAAGGAAACTAGTTTCATTTTGAATATTTTTATGATATTATTATTATTATTATTTATTTATTTATTTATTTACCATTATTATTATTATTATTATTATTATTATTAATTAATTATTATTATTATTAGTATTATTACATTATTAGTTTGTTTTTTTTTTTTTTGAAAATAAGTACTTATACTTTGGCAATCTAAATCATCTCTTTGTTTTCTCAGATATTCTTGACATTGCCAAAGTACATTAAAGAAAAGCAGACAACNAGTTGAGTTGGCCATTTGACCATCTTGTGACGTAATCCCGATGTCACATGTAGTCAAGTGAGGCTTTTTTGAACCTGCAACTGAGATTAAACAAAATACTTCAACCAACTGCGTCTAGTTAAACAGTGATATATATATATATGTGTGCACGCGAAAGCCTATTTAGTGCATTAATTATGGTTACCCAGTATGATCATTTTAAGTAGGTAGGTAATAATTACTAATGGACAAAAATCCTGAAGAACATGAGTTTTATCCGATACCTATAACTGTTGTCCGTACATACATGTGCATATTCAAACCAGGCACGGTCATAACTTACTGTCGCACTGTCCTTTCCGACCGGTGAATCCATCAACACAGGTACACCCACGTGAATAAAGCCCATCTGTGCAATTCCCTGGCCAGCAGTGGTATTGTTTCCAAGAACAGGTTGCTGATCAGATAAAACGCATAGAGTTATTGACCTGGCGCATTGTTGTACGTTGGGCTAAGATAAGCTTAAGCACGTTTTGAACGGGGTTGAAATGACGTTGTGTTTAACTTTGAAATCATCACCCTTACCTAAACATTCTCTGGATGTTCCCGCAGGCCAAAATACAGAGGTTGTAATGTTTCTACCTTGGTCTGAACACTTGGCGCACCCAGAATCAAAGACATTGATGCTTGTGCATGTTTCACTCACACAGTGGGGTATCAGTGAGCAATCTAAAATGACATATATACAGACTCCAATCAAAACATGTGCAACAGTGTTACCTAGCATACGTAATGTGCACATTTCAGTAAAACAGGCAGATTGAGAGAAATTCAAGAGACTACAGAACGTTAGTTCTGGAATATGGACACTCGTTTTTGTATCGAAGGCCACTTGTAAAAAATTAAATATATGGTATCTATTGGCGGTTCATAAAAATGTACCGTAAGCTCGTTGCGATTTAAAGTCCGGTGCGACTTTGTTATACACCCAATATAGCAATGGTACAGAAAGGTAAGCAAACAAAAAATAAATTTAATACACAGCGTTTTCAATTTGGGAAAAGTTGACTGGTTCTTAAATCATTTTTCTTGAATATTTGACCGTACTTAACATATAATTTAACAGGGTCCGTAAAAGGCACTGTTTATGTTATCACTAAGGGCTGAAATAAGATATGTGCATTCTTGTATACATGTATGTTTTTCGATAAAAAGTCAAAATCGATGAAAACCAGAAATACAGGAAATTTGGCACGTATGGGGTAAATCTCCGCCATCAGTATGCTTACAAACAAACCCAAATATACAAATACTCTATTATGAACATAAGGATTTTCATCAGAAACCGGTCTTTTTACCAAACAAAGTCACACAGCATTTTTTTAAACGCATTGGCAGTTATAGTGTGAAATATCAGATGTGAAGGACAGCGACGATGACGACATGGCCAGACAAAGATATATACATGTGTACCGACACATACAGTGTCTGTATATTAAAAGTGTACCAGTAATAAATAAAGTGAAAAAAAAAACAAATGTGTAAAACTGACACATTTTTAGACAATAGTGCCCAACGGTGTGAAATCTGAACCTTAAAACATTGTGATATCTACATCCAGTTATATCAGCTTTAATTCGGCAAAGTCTAA